TGGATGGAACTAGAAAACAGCATCCTGGGTGTGGTAACCCAGCCCCAGAACGACAAACATAGTATGCACTCACTCATAAGTGGATGTTAGACATAAAACAAAGATAACCAGTCTATATAGCCCATGAACCCAGAGAAGCTAGGTAACAAGGAGAACCCTAAGAGTGACTGACATACATGGATCCCCTTGGGAAGTGAAAATAGACAAGATCTCCTGAGAAAATTGGGAGGGGGGAAGGAGGGCAGAAGGGAAGGCAGAGGGGCAAAGGGGAGGGATGAGGAGAACATGAGGGAATAGGATGGTTGAGATGCTGGAAGGACAGAGCAAGGAAAGAGGCATCTTGATTGAAGGAGCCATTATGAGGCAAATGAGAAACCTGACACTAGGGAAATTCTCAGGAATCCACAAGAATGAACCCAGCTAAGACCCTAAGCATTAGTGGAGAGTGTGCCTGAACTGGCCTTCCCCTGTAATCAGATGGACCTGGTGACTAATTTTCATCTTAGAACCTTCATCCAGCAACTGAAGAAAGCAGATGCAGAGATTCATAGTTGAGCAATGAGCCAAGCCTCCAGAGACCAGTCCAAGAGTGGGAGGAGTGATAATATGAGCAAAGGAGTCAAGACCATGATGGGAATACCCACAGAAACAGCTGACCTAAGCTAATGAGAGCTCACTGACTCACAGTAGGGGAACCAGAATAGAACCAAACTAGGCTCTCTGAATGTGGGTAACAGTTGTGTGGCTGGGGCAGCAAGTAGGGCAACTAGCACTGGGACCAGGATTTATGCCTAGTGCTTGAACTGGTGGTTTGGAGCCCATTCTCTTTGGAGAGATACCTTACTCAGCCTAGATATAGGGGGGAGGGCCTTGGTTATTCTCTCTGAGGAGTGAGTGGGGGGCCTGGAGTGGGGAAAAGGTGGGGAGAGTGGGAGGAGGGAAGGGAGTAGGAACTGGGATAGGTACTTAAAATGAAAGAAGACTGTTTTTAAAAGGATACATTTAACGTAAAAAAAAAAAAAAGAACAAGGTGTGGCTGAAGAACAGGAAGTTGATTACACTGCATTTGAAGACCTGACTCAGAAATGGAATTAATTAGGGGAAAGTGTGCCTACAGAAACATTGGATTCTACAGTTATTCCAAACAAACTCATTCACTACAGTGACAACTGTGTCACTATGATATATAACTAGACTTTATACAATTCATTAGCTAAATACAGGAAATGGAATTCAGTTAGTAATCTTCTATAGCGAATTATCAATGAAACAAGTATTTCAAACATGAAACCAAAAGGCAAGATGGCATAAACAAATCCTGCAATGAGAAGACTTTCCCTTTTCTATCCCAGGCTTTGAGATACACTGAATTCTATGGAACAAGTGATGCCTGCTTGTAGTCAACATACTAGGAGAGAAAACTGATTGGTATGTGAAGCCCAGGGATTTGTTGATCTATGAAACACTGACTTAATGAAATAATGATTTAAGAAATGATGCAGCTTAGCCTGCATTCACATATTTGGGGATATAAATGTATGATATATATATATATATATTTATATATATAAAAACAATTGAAGAAAATGGGTCATGAATTTGAGAGTAAGCAAGGGGGAATACATGGGAAAAGGTAGAAAGGGGAAAGGGAAGGGAAAATGATGTAATTATACTTTAATTTCAAAAAATTCTTAAAGAAATGCATTAAACTGGACATTAGGGGCTCAGTCCAGTGTTCCAATGTGGGTCTCTGCCTCTATCTCCATCTGTCGCCGGACAAAGGTTCTATGGTGATATTCAAGATAGTCATCAGTCTGACTATGGGACAAAGCCATTCAACCACCCTCTCCTCCACTGCCCAGGGTCCTAGCTGGGGACATCCCTGTGGACACCTGGGATCCCTTCTAGATCCAAGCCTCTTGCCAACCCCAAAATGGCTCCCTCACTTAAGATATCTCCTTCCCTGCTCCTATATCCGTCCTTCCTCCATCTCAACCATCCCACTCGCTCAAGCTCTCCTCAATCCTCCCCTTTTCCCTTCTCTCTCCCCCTCCCCCTTACCCCCACCTCACTCGTACCCCCATGCTCCCAACATTTGCCTGGCGATCTTGTCTGCTTCCAATTTCCAGGAGGATCTATATATGTTTTTCTTAGGGTTCACCTTATTACTTAGCTTTGATAGGATCACGAACTATAGGTTCAATGACCTTTGTTTATGGCTAGAATCCACTAATGAGTGAGTACATACCATATTCATCTTTTTGGGTCTGGGTTATCTCACTCAGGAGAGTGTTTTCTATTTCCATTCATTTGCATGCAAAATTCAAGATGTCATTCAAGATGTTTTTTACCACTGAGTAGTACTCTAATGTGTATATGTGCCACACTTTCTTTATTCATTCTTCCATTGAGGGACATCTAGGTTGTTTTCAAGTTCTGGCTATTACAAATAATGCTGCTATGGACCGCGAGGGGTTGGTCCACCCACTGAGACAGTGTGCCTGATCTAATGGGAGCTCACCAAATCCAGCTGGACTAGGACTGAACGGGCATGTGATCAAACTGGACCCTCTGAACGTGACTGACAACTGGGGCTGACTGAGAAGCCAATGATAATGGCACTGGGATTTGTCTCTACTGCATGTATTGGCTGTTTGAGATTCTAGTCTATTTGGATGCTCACTTTCCTAAGCCTGGTTGGAGGGGGGAGGACCTTGGACTTCCCACAGGGCAGGGTACCCTGCCCTCTCTTGGGACTGGAGAGGAAGGGGGAGAGGGTAAATGCGGAAGCAGGAGGGAAATGGGAGGAGGAGAGGAAGTGGAAATTTTGAATGGTATTATTTATAAAGCAATAAAAAAGAAATTTTAAAAAAGAAATGCATTAAAAATTAAATCCTGTAAGTTTTGTGACCACATAAAAGAAGTTATACTAGTGGAATTTTGTCTTACATTACTTGTTTGCCTGTTTGGTGTGTGTGTGTGTGTGTGTGTGTGTGTGTGCGTGCATGTATACCACAAGAGTGTGTGGAGTCAGAAAACAACTCGAGGGAGTCAGTTTTCTCATCCCACCATATGGATTCTGAGGGTCAATCTCAGATAATCAGGCTTAGTAGCAAGTGCCTTGCCATGCTGATCCATCTTTCCAGCCCATTAGATTGATTCGTTATACAAGATGAAGCATTCGGTTTTGAGATAAAGAAAGCAGAAGGTTAAATAATATAGGTATGTACCAAGTACAGTAAGGTACACTTGTTATGCAAGTACTAGACAGGCTGAGGAAGAAGATTCCAAGTTCAAGGCCAGCCTGGGCTACACTGTGAGTTTCAGGTCAGCCTGAATTACACACACACACACACACACACACAAAAACACCAAAAAAAACCTGTAAAAATATTGCACATGGTTATGTTTGTAGAATAACAACGTATCTAAAGGAGCTGACAAACATGGATCATAGAAAGGAATAAAATATAAGTGCCATTTAAACAAATATACAAGCACTTTCCTAAGATAAGATTATTATTGTATAGTTATTCTATAATGAAAACACCATAAATTTGCAGTATATAATTCAAGTGGAAATGGGAAAGCACTTTGACATAAGCAGAAGTAATTCTGATCTCTGAATACATTTAAGTTACAAACAGTAAAGAATATTCAAGATTACAACAATTAAACAAATTGTTAACAACAATTAAAGAAAAAGAGGCCATAAATTTGAAAAAGAGCAAGAGAAGATACATAAGAGGGTTTGAAAAGAAAAAAAGAAAGTGGGGAAAATGATGCCATTATATTACCACAAAATTTAAAAAAAAAAGTTGAATAAACTAATGGGAAGTGAAGAACTGCTGAAGATTTAACCTGAAATTGCCTTGTCCCAAAATACAAGTTAGCCTGCACAGTCCTGGAAATGCTGCGTTAAAAACAAGACCACTGGGTCAGAAGACAGACAGCGGAAGTTTCAGGTACCCAATTTCTTTCCTCTAGATACCCTAGATCCAAGATGGAAGCACAGGAATTCTCCTGTGAACTGAACACAGGGGAACTCCATAGTCAAAAGCATAAGCTTAGCAAATCTGGTCTCATGGAAGTCCATGAGTAAGCCTGCCACCTTGGCCACCAATGAAGAGAAAGGGGGTGGTGTCTTTATAATCTTGTAACATTCTCCACCCTTAAAGTCTGTGAGAACATAATACAATGTCCCTGTAAAGAGACTGTAGAACAGAAAGTCAAAACTTCCTCAGACATGCAGAAATGCAAGAGACATAAGAAAAAACTGTCTCATCGTATTTGATGCCCTCCATATTATTTTTTAACTAACAAATATATTAAAAGGTCAATACACCCTCAGGGGAAAAAGTGGTTATCTCAGTAACATATTAAACAAATGTGTCTATATATGTTTTACTAAAAATATGTGATATTGAATAAATGAAATACTTAGCTCCAATGAAAATTCACCAAAATTACAAATGGCACTTTTAAAGGTTTCTTTGGTGAGACCACGTAAAACACCCAGTTTTTGAAGGCGAAATACATTACCAAGTTAGAGGGAAAGAAGAAGAGCTCAGTCTAACTATCTTAATAGCAATCATCAAATAAATAAAGACTTAAAAGAAATGCCCATCTTACTGGCACAGTAGAAGATTCAATCTTTTAAGAAAAAATATTACCAAAAAAAGGTAAAATTTGGTGTAAATTTGTTTTTCCATATAAACAACTTACTGGAAAATACCAAAGTCATATGAAGGATATGTCAGTATAAAAGCAGAAGTTTTCGAATTAAAAACATTCTTCTCTAGTAAATGACTGAAAATTACCAAATACAAAAAGGAAAAAGGATTTTAGAAATCATGTTTTATAGAAAGAGTATGTAAACTGATGCACCGTCCAAACCATTGCTCCTGGTACTCTGAATTGGAAAATGCAGTAAAACAATATCTATGCCATACCTCAACCTTCAAATTAAAAAAGGCAAAGCAGCAATATCCTTGACATACCTCACCCAGAGCTTCGTATCTTTTCTGGTTCCACCTGTGTAAGTCTTCACGGTAGTTAAAAACAAATGGTTCCCCAGTTTTTATGTGTCTTAACTGCCCCTCTAAAAGACAACAAGCAATATTCCAATGATTTAGAATATATCTTAAATAATATGGAACTTATAATAAATAATTATAACTTTTTTAAATATTTGATTTCTTCCTAAATTTTTGTCTTCAAATGCCAATATAATAAACCTATTAAGTATATAAAAGAAGGATCAGAGGAATTTAAAAGCTAGTCTTGATCTTCATCTCAATATTTGAAAGCAAGCTGACACTACTTTAAGGCTACTAAGAACACCTACCAGACAATGCCATAAGCATGGCCTCAGACTTGAAGAAGTTTAGCGGCTACCTGGGAGACAAATGTTGAAAATCTAAGCAATTTTCCAGAAAGTTAGATAGTAATGAAAGAAAGTCAGCAATGCAAAGCTGCCATCTGTGATGTATATGAATAGGGAGGTCCAGAATGATGTGGAACGTAAGCATGCACTGTGTGGTTACCTAGGACAGAAGGGGTTCAGAGCCTTGAGGAACAGTTTTCTATGAGGCCCTAAGACAAGCTGTCAATGGAGACTGGAGAGGAGGAGGAGAGCTAACACCAGCTGAAACTATCCAAACCTTCCTGGACTGGATTTTCTGACACAGAGCAAGTAAGGTCCAAATGAGGCATACAGGGCTCCACGCACCAGTAAGCATTTGGTCATAATATTCCCATCCTGTATGTTAAAGAATCATAGTGTGATATTCTTCACTGAAACATGCCTCATATTTCAAAAATATGTTTCTTTACCATGAGCAATGCTAAATTAGCCATCTAGATCATAGTATTCCAAAAAAAAATTCTCCTTGTGGAAAACATTAAACTTTATTTACTAAAAGGTTTAATTATCAGCCTATTTACAGTGAGAAAAGACAGACCATCTGCCCCTTGCTTTCAACTGAAAGAGTCTAGTAACCAGAAGAAACACAGCCCGCATGGCAACGGCTTTAATCCTTTCTCCCGAACAGGAAATGAAAGATTACTACTTATACATGTTGTGTCATAAGGTATTCCTTATAAAAAAAATATCTGAAAGTGATCAAAGTTTTTACTATCTTCTTCTTAAACTCATGAGTACGCACATACACACGGCAATAAGAGCGGTCCCTTACACCTGTTAAGTGTAAGGGGGACACACTAACACAGTGATGAGTAATCACCATTTGGAGCTAAAACGCAATAGATAGAAATGACAACTACACATTACCTGCCCAAAACAGTAAAAGCCTTCAAATATAATCATGTATTGTGGCTCAGGTATAAAGATTATTTTATCCCAAACTTAAAAAGATTTTAAACAAATGTTTTCCTGAAGAATAATGGAATACTGGGTACTCTGTTTTAAAATACTGCCACATATAATGACTACTAGTCACCTCATTTGAAATAGCATATTAAAGAATGAGGCTTTCTCTTATAGTTCAGTTAGGAGTTTCTAGTTAGATACTAGAGTAGAATGCTCAAAGTAAAAAAAAAAGTATATTTAAATGAAGTCAAATTATTGTCTTTTAACTTATGAGACTTGTCAACTACAGAAAACTGTTTCCTAATTCTTTTATTAGAATGAAGGAGTTCACTATACAAAGATAAGTCCTGATCTCCCGAAAATCCTGCAAAATATTCTAGTTAGGTAGTTGAGAGTAACTAATATGTTTCCTATGATTCTATAAACACTGTTAAGTAAATTATACATATACATATATGTGTGTATAATGTACAGCACTTACTTTCATTAAAAGCATATTCAAATCCTTCCAGAGTGTCAGGAAAATCAAGAGGTGGTTCATCCTTCTTCATGAGTTCATCCAAATCAATCCTAGACAGCAAATCTAAAAACAAAGTGACAGGAACTGACATGAGACTTACTCAGGTTCATGGCTCACTGAGAATACAAGTAAAGGCTGTATTTTTAATTGCTTTAAAGTATTCCTTTATTCTAGTAGATTAATTTTATCTGTTGTTTTAACTGATGATGCTATTAAAATTTAAGTTCCAAAAATGCTGTATTTTGATCTAACACAGTATCAACACAAGTACTTTCCAAATCATAATTCCCTAAGTAATCACAACTCGCATTCTCAAAATAATCTACTAAGTTTTTCCCTTCAAAATAGCTATTTGTTTGTACCTCATTAACCTTAGTCTACGATTTCAGGTTTCAGATATTAATGTAACATTTCAAAGACCACAAAATTTTACTATAAATGAGCTATAGTTTGTGAATAGAAGAACTAATTGCAAATGCAAAACTGATATCATTATATATTAATACATTTTATGAGAAATAATAAAATAAGACATGTTGACTAGAAATGCCTAATTGATACTAAAACAGTTTCTATTCTTCACAATACTGAATTTCACAAGTCAAGAAAGGCAGCCAGGCAGGTGTGGTGGGGCATGCCTTTAATCCCTGCACTAGGGAGGCACTAGGGAGTTTGAGGCCAAGAATACTCAGGGGAACTTTATACAAACAAAAACAACAACAAAAAAGGTCCAAAGGCTGTTTTATTAGATAGATAGATAGATAGATAGATAGATAGATAGATAGATAGATAG